TTGAGTTTCATGGAAGGTAGAAGTTATATAAATGATTTTAAATAATTCAAACTTTAGGGGCACCTGGATGGCTCAGTGGGTTAAGCCTCTGCCTTCAGCTCAGGTCATGATCTCAGGGTCCTGGGATTGAGTCCCGCATTGGGCTCTCTGCTAAGCAGGGAGCCTGCTTCTTCCTCTCTCTCTCTCCCTCTCTCTCTCTCTGCCTGCCTCTCTGCCTACTTGTGATCTCTGTCAAATAAATAAATAAAATCTTTAAAAAAAATAACTCAAACTTTACATTGTTATTGATAACATAGAATTACCGGAAATAAATGTTCTGTTGTTGGATTAGTTAGGCTGAGTGAATCATGACCGTCTCACTCTATGGAACATTAGGAGGCTATTACTAATAAAAATTTGAAAACTATCAACCACATAGAAAAAATTCCCAGAACAGTATTAAATAAAAGGAACAAAACTTATATAAGAAAGGATTAAGATATTCAAACATATGGGTACATATGGGGTGCCTGGGTGGCTCAGTCAGTTAAGCATCTGCTCTCTTTTGGCTCAGGTCATGATCCCATAGTCCTGGGATCAAGCCTAAGTGGGCAGGCTCCCTGTTCAGTAGGGAGTCTGCTTCTCCATCTCCCTCTGCGTCTCCCCCTGCTTGTGCTCTCTCACTCCTTCACTCTCTCTCTCAAATAAATAATCTTTTTTTACTTAATGTCTTTTAATGCTGGCTTAATGAATTACTTAACTAGTGTTTTAAGACAGTTCTATATATTATAGAAGAATTAGGTAAACTAAATCCCTTTTTCATAGCTATAACCCACAAAAACTTTTAGGTGTATTTTTTACTTTTTAGATCTCTCAAGTTTCATTTCATTAAAGCCTGTCAAAGCCCGAAATTCTGTAGACTCTGCAAGTCAGAGAAGCTCTCTTCCTGTTTCAACTTCTGCCTCTAGATCTGACCTGCTATCAAGATTAGACTTAAAAAAAAAAAAGAATATTAGACTTCATTAAGTGAGTTCTATCTCTGAAATCCATTTACTGACAATGTAATCCTGGGCTAATCACTGAAATGCTGTAATGTTTGTATTCTTCTATCTCTAAGTTTCTGTATTTACAAAATTCTCCATGGAAGTCAAGTACTCTAAGATTCATCTCAGATCCAGGGCTCATTCCCTACTTGCCTACGTCCTAAACCCTGGGAAAAACAGAGCTTAACATCGGTTGCATCTTGCTAGAAGCAGGCCAAACCTTGAAGAGGGAATTGTATCCCCAAAGATAAATAGCATTTGTTTCCCAAGAAGTAAACTATTATTTACCAAATACTTGAATATCTGACACTGTACCAAGCACTTCAAATATGTTATATGAACCACCTTCCCAACCACAGACACGGAACCAATTCCTGGAGCCGGGGAACTCTGTATATGCAATTTAGAGGCCAAGGGTAGGCTGCCCCAAGATGAACCACTTTGGCATGAAGACTACGCTGAGCTGAAAACAAAGTCCAAAGACTCAGGAAGAAATGGACCTTCCCCCCCACCACAGCAGCCTAAAAGATTTTAGATAAAGGACCTGCTTCAGCAAGAGAGCTATCACCACAGATAACATTATAATATGAACTAGGTATAGTAGACAGGAAGGAACCTAGCAAAACCTGTTTGATTAAAGTCCTCTCTAAGTCCTACAGTTTCTAAACTGTGCAGCAAACCTTTGTTTACCAAACATATATTCTTTTTCATCTTTTTGTGAGTTGTGTTCCTTCCCTTTGAAATCCCAGACCCCATTTTCTCCTTAGTTCTGAATGACTTTTATACCTCATTTTGCCTGTCTGAAATTTCATGTCTGTAGATTCCCTATATGTACAAAATTAAATTTCATTTTCTCCTCTTAATCTGTCTCATGTCAATTTAAGTCTTAGTCCAGCTAGAAGAATCTTGAGGGACAGAGAAAATTTTTCTTCCTCCCCAAAAGTGACAAACATCCTATGTGATTCCTAAATACATACAAGTTTGAAAACCAAAAATGGAAGGCCAGTGTTTTTCAAACTGTGAATAAGAATTCATTAGTGGATTGTGGCTACATTAAAAATATATATATAACAGAGACTACCAGAGTGAATTGCATGTAGTATGAATTGTTTTTGTGAAATGGCTGCTAATTATATATTGTATACGTATATCCTTGGCAACAACATAAAATTTATTTCTTACTGTGGTCACAGAAAAAAGGTCTGAAAAGTACTAGCTAGGCATTACTGACTTAGGATAATGCACAATGAGGCATAATAGTAATAAAAAAAAATCAAGAAAGAGCATAGTGGGCGCCTGGGTGGCTCAGATGATTAAGCCTTTGCCTTTGGCTTCGGTCCTGGTCCCGCGGACCTGGATCAAGCCCCGCACGGAGCCCCGTATGGAGTCCCGCAAGGAGTCCCGCAAAGAGTCCTGCACAGAGCCCTGTCTCTGGTCCCTGCGCGGCGGGAAGCCTGCTTCTCCCTCTACTTCTACTGCTCCCCCTGCTTGTGCTCTCTCGCTCTGTCAAATAAATAAATAAATAAAATCTTCAAAGAAAGAAAGAAAGAAAGAAAGAGCATAGCACATAGAAAAGTTCCACAAATTTCTAGAGAAATAGAAAAACTTAAGACACTTAAACTCTAATCATCTATAGTCATAAGGGATATTGTGGTATAATTAATTTGGCCAAAAAGCCAGTAACTTTACTTTTAGCCAATAACTTAAATGTTTCTTTTGTTTGCTGTGGTAATAACAAGTAGAATGGACAAATTATTCAAGCCTGACCGTCGCCTTCACCAGAAAAGGTGGAAGCTAGAAAAACATGACAGCCAAAAGAAGGACAGCAATTTAGTTAACTCATTAATCGAATTCCAATCCGTGAATAATCAAAAGCAACCATCCATTAAAGCCATCCTATCTCTCTTTGCTTACAACACTCAAATAATGAATTAGGGGCTCCACTATCCAACAAAACTAATCACTTCCGAAAACTCCTTTCCGAAAAAAACTCATTTCTGAAAAAATGCTTATTAAGCCATCTCCCTTTTTCCCCCTTTTGTTTAAAACCAAACCACGGAATTCACGGGAAACCAGTGTCACAACTGTACCTCTACGTGAAGTGAAGACACTCAGATTGCCAAGCAGTGGCAAGCCGGCAGCGCATCAGCGTTTCTCCACTCCAAGGCGGGAAAAGAAGGGCACTGGGTCCTCTATGTTACTGGGAATGGGCTGTAGGTCTGGCGGCCGCAGAGATGCTCCCCCCAAGGGTTCGGGCCCAGAAGTCTTGCCCACCGCAGAGAAAAAGAAGTGAGATCCCACCCTACACACACACAAACGCTGAGCCGTGGAAAAGAAGCGCGATCCCACCTTACACACAAACACGCCCCTCACGCGAGCACGCGCGCGCACACACACACACGCTGAGGCGAGAAAAGCAGCACGATCCCACCACTCGCGCGCGTGCGCGCGTGCACAGACACACACACACACACACACACACGATGAGCGAAGGAAACGCGCGATCCTAACCTAACCGGTACTACACGCCCCCTCCCCGCACACACAAGCTGGGCTGAGGAAAAGAAGCACCATACCGCCTTACCTGCGCGCGTGGGTATAAACACATACACACACCCCCACACACACACGCTGAGCCGGGAAGGAACCACAAAACGTGTCTCTGTCGCGGGGTGGGGAGGGGGCGTGGGAGCGCGTGCAGAGCTACAGCAAAACCTCAACCCCCTGGCCACCGAGCCTATCCTTCCACCCCGGTTGTCCCAGATCCACGGGAGGAACTGTCCGGTTTGGAATTCACGTGAGGGAAAAGCGTAATGAGCGAGCCTGCAGAGGACTGGGACAAACGAAATCCCCGCAAACTTACCTCGGTGCCTGCCGCCGCCGCCGCTCGCCGTCACGGACCCAAAGTAAATGGATAGGACCTCCAAGACTGTCTTGCAGCCAGAGAGGCGGGCCTCGGCCTAATCCGAGCAGGGGGAAAAAAAAACGGCCTCCACAGCCCGCAGGGTACCGCTGGAGTGACGCTAACTGAGACAGACGCTTAACTGGGGTCCACCTAGTAAACTAGAGAGGGCGGCCATTGACCCTGACTGGCACGCGATCGGATTGGTTGATTCTGGGGCTGTTTCAAAGGAAACTCTTCTGTGATTGGCCAGGAAAGTCAAGCGGGAACCCGGAGGTGGTGGGTGGAGGGGGCAACAAAACTGTTACCTAGGCAACAGACGCAGCGCTCTCAGCTCTCTATTTTCGGAGCCCAGCCAGCGACCCGAAAACTGACCCAGGTGAGGAAACCTGAACCTTAGAAAGGGGAAAGAAAGGGTCCCCAAATGCCCTGGCTATCGGGAAAACTAGGGTGAACTCTAGAGTAGTTATGACTCTGAAAGCTACGCAAAAAAAAGCCACAAGTCGCAAAGAGTACAGACCTTTTCCCTAAGTTTCCCTTCCCTGGACACTAGAAGCAGGAGGCAGCTGTAACAAAACTCAGTCTATTCAGGATGTGAGTGAGAGATGGGTCAATTTTACCATACCGGGGAATAAATGCCGTTTGACGGTCTGAAGGCCAAAATGAACACACGAAGGCTTCCCAATGCTTGTGTCAACTCACACACACTTATGGTTTTAACATTAATTTGACAGTGAAAACTGTCTCCTTATAGGTAGATCTGGGCGCTCAAGTCCCCACTGTTCCTTTTGTTTTACACGTACAGGCATGATCTACCCAGAGTGCCTTGGTTGGGATGTAGATATAGATATAGATATATATAGATAGATATGTAGATAGATAGATATCTAAGTAGATATGTAGATACATATCTATATATGTAGATAACTATCTATGTAGATAGACATAGATATTTATTTTTTAAGGGGTATAACGTTGTTCAAACTGAAAAAAAAAATGGCCGGTGCCACTTTCTGCGTGGATAATAATATCCTGTGTGCGAGAATGTGAACACTGTGGCCTGAGGGTTCCAACGGCCGTTGGTCAGATCCGTTGAGGATGGAGAAGCAGTCAGACTATGCTTGAGGGGGCTAAAGTGTCGTGTGCAAAGACTACTTGTACTTAACCTCAGCGAGGCTGCTACTCACCAACAGTTGATCAGAGACTGAGTATCCTATGTCGTGGGACTATACCTGTTAAAAGGTAAGAAACAATGTCAAAAAAATAAAATCTGTGTATGAGGAGAGAACAGAATTTGATTAGGGAGTTAGGGATCATTTCTCCTCAGAGCTTCCTATTGTGACAAGAATTCAGAACAGAGACTGTTTCCCAAAGAAATTAAACAAACAAGCCTTTTGACTTAGGGAGAAAATTTCAAAGTACTGAAGGAAAATTTGCTGTCTCGGCTCCTTTTTAGATAGTGGCGGAGTATGAGAATGAGAGAAAGATTACTGCCAAGTATATTAAGTCTGTCTAAAATAAAGAATAATAGAGGAAGTATTAAATCAAAAGAAGGTCATATATGAAATATTCCAGGCATTTCCAAAAATCATCTTCTATTGAATACATTTTAAATTTGTAAGAAAACCCTTTTAAGTCCTCATAGTTACTTAAGTTTTGGTACATTTTATGACATTCCTAAAAAAGGCAATCATTCTTCATATTATAAAGAAAAAGTAAAAAATGAATTATTTTTACTAATCATTGATGTGCATAGATGTCAAAAATGTAAAAAAAAAATAGCCAGTATACTGTAATTTAATTCACACATAGGCAGAGATGCTAAACAGCATCTCTGTTTTCAGAAGAAAACTTTTGTGTTTTCAGAAGAATTTTAATACAGGAATTGCCAAATAAGAACTATGTAAATAAAGTTGCAGGAGAAATGCCAAATATACTTAAGAGAGTAAATCGATTTTGAATAATTTGAAATCATCCAGCTGTAAACAGTGTTTTACATAGGGGTATGTGTTTACCTATCAAACAAGTTCCCAAAGGATATTATGTGGTAATTCTTTATGACCCTGGTTCTATTTACTATATATACTTGAATTAATAAAATATTTCCTTTTGAATAGTCTGTAACTCAGGGTTTTCACTAATTTCACCTAGATTTTTCTCCAATTAGTTCAGGTCAAAGAGCCATCCCTACAGACACTGTGGGTGGAAGCAAATGAAAAAGAAGGCACAACCCCAGCCCTCATAACCAGAGTCTGACTTAATCTCTGGTTACTGATGCTGCTTCAGTGCCATCCTGGTTGAGCTTGTTTAGTCCCTAACTGGTTTCTCTGTTTCTGTAATGAGCTGTTTCTGAAGTGTCTGTCTTTTTAGCTCTTCGTGGCTGGTATGAAGAGCGATTCCCCCAATCACACCTTTATGTATGAAGGCCCTAAGGGCTGAAGTTGATGTGGGCAAATCATAAGCTCTATCTGGAAAATGTTGCCTTTGGAATTTGCCTAGCAAAGGAGAGTGAAAGAAATAAAAACAAAGGGCATAGAAAATTTATTTTCTTTATCTTTTCTTTTTAAAAATTTTTTTAATTTTATTTTTTCAGTGTTCCAAGATTCAGTGTTTATGCACCACACACAGTGCTCCATGCAATATGTGCCCTCCTTAATATGTGCCCACCATCAGGCCCTACCAACCCCCCACCCCTCCCCTCCAAAACCCTCAGCTTGTTTCTCAGAGTCCACAGTCTCTCATGGTTCATCTCCCGCTCCGTTTACCCCCAACTCACTTCTCCTCTCCTTATGGTCCATATATACAATGGAGTATTATGCCTCCATCAGAAAGGATGAATACCCAACTTTTGTATCAACATGGATGGGACTAGAGGAGATTATGCTGAGAGAAATAAGTCAAGCAGAGAGAGTCAATTATCATATGGTTTCACTTGTGGAAAATTTATTTTCTAAGAACCAAATCTCAAATCGATTTAGCAATATATTTTGTTTTTAAAGAAATTACTACTTAAATTTTCTTAATTTCAATTTATTCTTGGCCTATTTAAGTGGTAATGCCAGATTCAAGCAGTGGCACTCTAGGATCTTCTCCTTCTTCTTCCTTTTTTTTTTTTTTTAATCACTACACTACACTGAGTAGGCAAAAGGAAGAATACATTAGGTATAAAGGCAGGAGATTATAAGTTCTTTTTTTAAGATTTTACTTGGGGAGTGGGGAAGAGCAGAGGAAGAAGGAGAAAGAATTCCAAAGCAAATCCCACAACCTTGAGATCATGACCTGAGCCGAAATCAAGACCTGGACACTTAATCAACTGAGTCACCCAGGCGCCCCACAGGGTATGTTTAATAAGCAGTTCAGTTTTTAACAGAACACAGATTGCATGTAGCAGAATAAGTAAGAAATGGCAAAATTAGGTTGGGGTGATATCTTAAAGGACCTTGATTGCCAGGCTTAAGAGGAACCTAATGCATGTCAAATTTCCAGGTGAAAGATATCCCTCAAATAAATAACACTGTAAAAAGCCATCTTGCTTTAGTTTGTCCAGTTGATCTGTTTCTGCCAAATAAATGTTTTCAACAAAGCTTAATAAATTATTAATTTTTAGACTTCTAAAAAAGGTGGCAGAATCTGTATTTCTATTAAATTTAGACTATTTTTTTCCAAAAATTCACATCACTGTTTTTCTCTTGATCCTTTGAACTATTTGGTTATTCACAAAGTATTGGTGATTCATTTATTTCTCAAAATATATCAACAAGCATATCTTGATTTCTTATTTTGTGTTTGCAGGTTATTACAGTTGATATAGTAAAAATATTTTTGCTAGAGTGCCAATTTCATTATGACATCTCTACGCCTATTTAGCTACATATGAATCTGTTCCATTTTATGCCAGCCTAATTTGGAATTTAAGAAGTCTAAGTCCTAATGTGCTTGAGATATATAGAGTGTTACTTTAAATTATTGTGAATTTGTTATATACTCAAACATACATCCCAAGAAGGGGCATCCTTTGAAAGCAGTCACTTTGGGAGTCTATCCACTTGCTGTTGCTATGGCTTAAATTACCTTTGAAAATACTCTTAGAATCGCCTTGAGGCCTGTAGCACATTTTTTTGAATCTCCTCAAAGTAGCAAATCTTCATATTTTGAAAGTAGATGTGATATCTTGATACGTCTAGAAATCACTTGGAGACAAATCTGTTGTATAATCAAACTGAGTGATACCATAATGATACCTGTTTTCTTGGTGATACATATGAAGGCAATTCCAAAATATTTTGAACACTGATAGCATAATTTACATCAGTGTATAACCTTCTAAGGTGACTACTTTGAAATACAATAGCCGTGTGAATTTAATCATGCTTCATTCAGTATTCATAAACTGCTGACTCTATGCCAGCTCCGGTTTTTGAGACTCTCGGCTTAAAGGGATGTCTTCCCACTGTCCACACTGCCCTGCCTCTCACCAGAGAGCCAGGTCAGAGCTACTTCCCAGCTGGTAGGGATTTAGAATAAATCTGCTTTCCCTAAATCCAGTATCCACTGTACCCACTGAACGACAGACTCACTTCATAACGGAGCTGCCCAGAGTAACATGAGAAAGTCTATGATTTGGTACCTAGATTTCTTTTCCTGCAGTGATGTTGAGCCCTGCCATATTCTGAACCTTCATCTAGCTGCCAGCTCCTCAAAGATCCTCAAGAGTCAGACCCTGCCTCCTCTATCCCCCCACCTATGGACCAGGGTTCTGTTCCACCTAAACAGACCTCCCTACAACCATGCTTATTCCAACTTTCTGCCCTGAAACACTGCTCATATCCCCAAACTGTTGCCATGTCCCTGCCGAGCAGATGAAAATGTATGAATAGGAGTTCTGATTGCTACCTCAGACCCGGTATTTGGGACTTCTGAATACCCTTCTTCTGGGTTTGCTTTACCGGTTCCAGTTTATTCCCCTCTCACCAGCCCACCATTAAGCTCTCACAAGGCTCATCATCAAGTATCTGGGTATGCAGGCACAATGTATGTGCCAAATGATAATGATAATTTTATGCAGCTTTTCATGTTTTAGCAAACTCTCTCACCTACATTGCTATTAATAATAAGGCCATCACAGGGGCGCCTGGGTGGCTCAGTGGGTTAAAGCCTCTGCCTTTGGCTCAGGTCATGATCCCAGGATCCTGGAGCCCCGCATGGGGCTCTCTGCTCAGGGGGGAGCCTGCTTCCCTTCCTCTCTCTGCCTGCCTCTCTGCCTGCTTGTGATCTATCTGTCAAATAAATAAATAAAGTATTTAAAAATAATAATAATAATAATAAGGCCATCACAACAATTTTGTAAGGGGGGGAAATGCTGGAATAACAAAACAGTTTCTGCTATATTTGTTTTAGAAAACCTCATTGTTTGTGCAATCTCAACTCGAAATACTGTTCATATCACTGCATCTGAGACCTGGATCCATTTCCCCTTTTGTTGTCAAAGGTAGAAAATGTGTCAATAAACTTTTTGCTCTTAATGTTCAGTAAATATTTAATGAACACATAATCAACTAGAACTTTTGAAATATAAACAAGAGCCTCTTTGTTTAATTTGTGTCAGTTATTCATTTCCATAGCAGACTACCAGACCGTACTGTGAGAGAAGATTGTTTTATCACCATTTATTTCACCTTTTCCAATTTAATGAGTTTCCAATGTAATGAGTTTTATCATTAACTTATTTGACATTATTAGAAGTGATATTCATGCCCAGCAAAATTAAATTTTTAAAGGACCAATAATAGCTAACATATGTTGAATGCTTACAACGGTTAGAATGTGTGCGAGGCAGAGTTCTAAGCTTTTTGACGTGTGTGAAGCTACTCAATCCTTGTAACAACCCTATGAGGTAGCACTATGATTATTCCTATTTTACAGGTAAGGAGGATGGGGTGTATAGAGTTTAAATGATGTGCCCAACGTCACAGGGCTGGGAAGTAAATGATAGATGCATATCTAGTCAGCATTACTCTGGAGACCTACTCTAAACCACTCTGATATACTGCCTCTACGCTAAACATACAAGGCTATTTCACATGTGTTTCATACCCTTGACATCTTAAATAAGCATTAAGATCAGTTTTCCATTTAAAAAAGAAAGTGAGGGGCACCTGGGTGGCTCAGTGGGTTAAAGCCTCTGCCTTCGGCTCAGGTCATGATCCCAGGGTCCTGGGATCAAGCCCCACATCGGGCTCTCCGCTCAGCGGGGAGCCTGCTTCCTCCTCACTCTCTGCCTGCCTCTTTGCTTACTTGTGATCTCTGTCAAATAAATAAATAAAATCTTTTAAAAAATAAAAAATAAAGTCAAAATAATAGTAAAACATAATAAAACAGAAGGTTTGCAAAACACCATCTGCATGCAGATTGATTTTGACAGGTGATTTTGTACGAGCACACATTTGAGAATCCCTTTGTATTACTGTTCTAGGCACAATGCAGAAATTTTAGCAGATCATTTAATAACAGCACTAAGGAAGTGTTTTCTGTGAGTTGGTTTTATAAAATTATGTTTGAAAAATATGAGCAGAGATGTAGAAAATGTTCCTATTATATTTATGCCCAAATCATTCACAATAAGCTTTATGCAGGTTATTCATTAAAGTCTGTGACATTTCCAAGATGTTTAAGGACCTTGAATTCCTACCCTAAATGTGACTATAAGGATTATTATTTTTAAGATTTTATTTATTTATTTGACAGACAGAGATCACAAGTAGGCAGAGAGGCAGGCAGAGAGAGAGGGAGAAGCAGGCTCCCTTTCCGAGCAGAGAGCCCGATGCGGGGCTTGATCCCAGGACCCTGAGATCATGACCTGAGCCGAAGGCAGAGGCTTAACCCACTGAGCCACCCAGGCACCCCTATAAGGATTATTTTAAAGGCTGGTAGGATTATAAGTCGTGGTAATCTTATTTACGTTTTTAATGTGTTATTTCCTAAAATTTTCATTACATACATATATAGTATCACTATGATAACCATGAAACAGTTCATTTATTTTGCGTGAACTCTTCACTAAAGCCAATGAACCAACCCACTAGAATTCTCAGGTGGCGGTATAATGCTAGGCATCATCAAGGGCTGATTAAAAATTTAATCTTCGGTCTTCAATGAAACAGAAAACCGAAATATCTCTTTCTGATTATCTTCTTCCTCAGAACATGAATTCTGAAAATATGGAATCTGAAAATGCGGAAACCGAAAATATGGAAACTGAAAATCTAGAATATGAAAATATGGAAATTGAAACCATTTCTTCAGTTTCAGCTCTGCAAGCCCTCTCTAAGCTACTTTATCCCGAAGAAGAGGATGATTTTGAGTCTGGACAGGTGGTTGTATACTTACAGATGAATTAGTTCTATTCACGCTAAGTTGTTAAACTGTATTTGAACAACTCGTTCAAACCTTGCTGTGGGAGCAATGTTGTGTCATCCAACAGGAGATTGCAGGAGTCATTGTACATGAGAGTATCACCTCTGGTTCATTCCTAGCGAACATAATTATCTTTTTTCTAAATTACCTGAACACTCAATAGGAAAATAGTTCTGTAATTATGGTAGCAATAGCCACATTTCAAAATGTTTGTCATTTATATTTATGGCCAAAGAATGCTTCACAACCATTGCAGAGAGTGGTAACTTGGATTTTTAAGCCTAGACAGTATTTCTATAAAACAAATAATTTCCATGAGACAGTGTTAATTAGGACCCCACCAACCAGCTCCCTTAATTTTTAAAAATTTGTCCACACATGACAACAGAACAGAGAACAATTTGACCCAGATAATGGGATAAACTACTATAATTTTAGCTTAGTAAATTGACTTCCGGGTATATGCTCACACATAGCTGTGAAATCTAATTTGTTGGATAGTGTTTGGGATCATGGCAGGCAGCCCCAGGGAGGCTTGCTGCAGCAAGGTGGGCTTCATTTTGGGTAGGATAGTTCCATAAACTGACCTTCAGTCACTGCCCATATTCCCAGAATAATCAAAATACTTCTATGTAGCCCCTGCTCTCCATTCTCCTGCTCCTTAGGTATCAGCAAACCTCAGCTTTCAGACTGCCTACATGAAGGCAAACAAAATTTGGGCCAGAAATCTCACACAATAACAGAATATATCAATTTGCTTTACATGATCTTAGTGAAATTGTTATTATGACCAATTTTCCATGAATAAACCATCTCCAGTGAGCATGCTATCAGTCTGCTCCTCCCCCAAAATGCTTTTCTGCTATTGTGTGGAAAAACAAATGTAATCTGAATAGGCAGCAAATTCAGTGGCTCAGATCAACACTGGATGGAACTTCCACCCTCCAGGAAGAGTTTAGGTGGAAGGCACAGAATCAAGGAAGATGTGCAATGGGAATAAAATTTTTGGATGGAAACTGAATCAGCTTGGAGCCAGAATCCAAGAAGTGTTATTCAGGGAAAAGTTAGTAGAGGCCAAACAAAAATCAGGACATTAATGATAGCATTGAATATATACAACACACAGGACACTGGAGAAAAATTTAGGAGCAAGGTATCAATCAAGTTGGGAAGGCAAGTACATTTTGGTTACGTTAAGCTGAAGTAGAAGGATACATCCTGGGAAGGGTAGGATTATGTCTTATGCAAAAAGCATATTAAATATTTGAGAAACAGCAATTTTGAAGAAAGGTGAGTGGACCTCGTAACTGGGACAGATTCAAAGATAAAAGATTTTCCCTGGTAACAAAATCTGTTCTCTTTGGCCTTATGTATGGAGTTGTTTATTTGCATCTAGAGGTGATTCTAGGAGAAAGATGAGTGATTATGAGAATAGATGAGGATAATTTTATCAAATTGTACAATTCATAGAGGAAAATTACTGTAATAATGTATGATTCTGTATATCTGGGTTACCAGCAATTTTGAGGTAATTGGTCACTCAGACACTGGAGTACAGATATCATTAGAGGATATAGAATTGGAGTATCAGAACAGTGGGGAATAATTAATGTTTCCAATGAACTCTTAAATTTTCCAGGAGAGAAATTGTTTTTCATTTTTTAACATGTATTAATCTTGGGAACTGTGGAATGATCACAAGAGTGATCTGTTTTTGAAAATACTCTCTGAAAACAAGATTAGAACTGTTGTATAGACGTTGGCTTATTTACACCATCTCTACCATGAATTGCTAAGAATCTGGGAGATTAGGAAGAGAATGTTTTTTAAACTCACACAGGAATCTTAAGACTTGTGGGAAATAAGGTTCACCACTCCACAGACACCATAACCAAGTTGTTCTAACTCTCTTACCTATTGCAAAGTGGCATGAACTGCAATGATAAATTTCTCAGATAATGGGATATGGCTCCATGGTAAAGGCTGAAATGATATTTTCATGGAAAATATTTGTAAGATGGTTTTTAATATTTTTATTATCCTCGTTTTTCATTCCACTTGAAATTTGTTTTTAATTGTTTATTTTCATTAAGTTAATAAACTGAGACCCTCCTTCACTGACCCGATCATCACTATGCAGGGAGAGCATACCAATTTTTGTTAGGAATGTTCAAGTTTTCCTTTCCATGGATTTTAATTTTCCTTGGAAGGTGTTACTCAACAAAACAAGAAGCCCTCATGTTCCAAGAAATGCTTTGCCCTGATTGACTATTAGTATTCTGATGATTAATAACTTAAGGAAAGCACTACTAGTTTATATGACCTTAGTGATTAAAATGAAAAAACAATGTAGAGTACCATCTTGGGATTTCCACATAAAACTGTAACACCTTAACCAGAGACATTGCACTTTTGAAGCACCTTTTGGAAAGGAATGGTTACTGTCTTAGAAGCCATTGAGATGTTACAGATTAATTTCTGATTTATAGCTGTTGGAATAGTTTAGCATAATAAAGACACAGGTGAGTTTTTCCACCAGCTTTCAAGGACAGACACTATTCCTCTTGCCCAAACAGGACATTGTAACTCTTGTACATACCTGAAGTCTTGGGAGATCCAGGCAGGGGCCTGAGAAAAGAGAGCCTCATGTGCTAGTTTGCCAGGATCCAGGGAGAGAACAACGTTTTGACTGTCAGCAATGGAGTAAACTGGAGCTTCAGAGTCTGGCATCAGCAAGAACATTTAGGAAAATATTGGGATTTCTTGAATTATCAAAAGACCCCCGAGAGGGACCAATGAGGTGGTTGCCACTATTCTGATAGTGTAATATGTATCATACTTAGTTGAAAAAAGGAAAATTATTCTTGTACTGGTGAATAGAGGGGCAGTCCTATGACAGTGTGTTTGCTTGCACAGGGGATGGCAAAATGAACTTGCATGATGACTGAAGTGGTTCAGCATGTATTTGACACTCTTAATTTGGGGTTGCTGTTTAAATCCATTAGTTCAGTGTCATGAGGTGGAGCGACAAGAAAGTGTTATAGGTCACCAGAGGAAAAAAAGTAAAATCAGTTACCAGGAGTTTCGAATGCATCCTTTGATATCTAAATACTTAAGACCCTATTTAATGGTTTGTTTTTGTTTCTATGAAACTTTCCCGTCCTTTTCCATCCCCCATCTAACTCTGGCAAGACACTGCCGAAACCCAAAAGTGTCGATGCTTTTATACTAATACTTGGTTCTGACCTTCAAAGAGATGAATGTGGTTCATTCTGCTATCCGCAGGGATACACAATTCACTGGGCTGGAACTGGGGATTTTGTCTGATCAAAGATCAGTTCTGCCTTTGGGCCTATTAAACTAAATACTTTTTGAAAGGAAAAGGAAAACACGTTCTAAATAATACTTGGCATCTGTCGCTCTGTTGTATAACAATGATGATTAAATGAGAAGCTCTATGAAATTTTATATGGAAAGCTTATCAAATTCAAAGCATTACCGGTCATAAAGGTTACACAAGTAATAATTACTTGTTGGACCTTTTTTCTTCTCTCCCAGCCAAATTGTTCATCTGTCCTTGGAGCCATGGGTCCTGGGAATATTGGACCACCAACAACAGAAGAGGTCCAAGGTAAGTTATTTAACAAAGCATATAGATCAGTATGATCAGTAAAATCTTTTCTCTGGGAGCAAAAGTATAAGGAGAGTAATACTAACACTAGAACTTGTCAAAGATGACCTCAAATAATTGTGGAAATGAACAGCCATAAAGACGCTGTTTTTACTCTACTGTTATAGGTAAGTCATTTTTATATTAATGGAAATTAATTTGCCTTGAATTATTCACATTCACTTTTTGGGTTATTTCCTGAGAAGTAAAACCAAGAAAGTCATGTTTGGTTAAACAACTTTTTTATTACTTAAGGTCTAGTTACCAAGATGCTTAGTTTCTTCATCTTCTACCCTGCTATATTCTGGCAATTTCACAGAATTCATTAATTCATTCAACAAATATTTATTAAGAGCCTGTTGTGTACCAGGTAGTAGTAACATCTCTGGAGCTATGAGGAAGATCAAAATAGAAAGGTATCTGCTCCCATCGAGTTAATAGTCTTTTGGAGAACACAATAAATAACTACACAATTTTATCTTATATCAAAATGCTTATAAATTAAGGCCCATGAGGCGATGTATATAGTCACAGCTTCTATAAACTAGAATAAATACTTGGGGGAGACTTTTCCCACCATTTTGGCGCATACGTTTCCACAGAGTTGAGCATTTTATACATCTTCAAAAATATAGAAAGCTCTAATTCTGTCATGATGACAGTTACCAGAGGGTGAACAGGGAAAGGAAGTGAAGTTCCTTCATCAATTTAGCTGATTATTAAAGATTTTATCTGGAAAATGTTTAAAATAATGGCTAAAATGAGGTCTGAGGGGATGATTTTAAAATTTCAGTTATTATCCTCTACATACTCAAGAGTCTCTTTGCCTCATTCAAGAGATACTGGAAGGCTAGTTCAAATTTTGATGTGTTTCTATGCTGCCTGAATTTCTGATAGTGTATGTCTAATATCCTCTAAATTCTGAGAAAAATGAGTCATATGCAAACTATTTTATATGAAATCTGTAATTAGGTTTTACAAAGCTCATGCTAGACAGAAGCAGACAATTACAAAAGAGTTGGCAGTATTGAAAACCTGGTAATCAGGTGCATTTCTGGGGATGCTTAAAAGGAGAGCTTGAAATAATGTTCTGCACCTAATGTTGGAACAAATGTAAGCTGGGCTTTTCCATGCCTCATTTGCTTTTAAATATTTAAAGATGACACGTCAGAACCCAGGTATATGCTTAGTCCTACATAAAGGACAAGTGATAGAGATTTTCTTTGAGGCTCACATCTACATGAGGAAAATACTAGATTAAAAAATTATCACTGGGGCACCTGGGTGAATCAGTGGGTTAAGCGTCTGCCTTCAGCTTAGGTCATGATCTCAGGGTCCTGAGAAAGAGCCCTGCTTTGGGCTTGCTGCTCAGTAGGGAGTCTGCTTCTCCCTCTGCCTCTTCCTGCTGCTACCTCTGCTTGTGCTCTTTTTCTCTCAATCTCTCTCTCTGTCAAATAAATAAAATCTCTTTTTTAAAAGGTTTTGTTTATTTATTTGAAAAAGAGAGAGAGAGAGAGTGAGAGAGAGAGAGAGAGAGAGAGTATGAGAGGGGAGAGGGTCAGCGGAAGAAGCAGACTCCCTGCTGAGCAGGGAGCCCAACTTGGGACTCGATCCCGGGACTCCAGGATCATGACCTGAGCCGAAGGCTGTTAGTTGCTTAACCAGTTGAGCCACCCAGGTGCCCCAAATAAAATCTTTTTTTTTTTAAATAAAAAAATGATCATTGTATCCACTGTTTTCAGTTTCTTTTTTTTTTTAGATTTCATTTATTTATTTGACAGAGATCACAAGTAGACAGAGAGGCAGACAGAGAGAGAGGGAGAAACAGGCTCTCCACTGAGCAGAGAGCCCGATGCGGGGCTCGATCCCAGGACCCTGAGATCATGACCTGAGCCAAAGGAGAGGCTTAACCCACTGAGCCACCCAGGCGCCCCTGTTTTCAGTTTCTATAACTGATGTTTTCTAAGAATTATGTCATGCTTTCATGACACAGGTATCAAAGTTTTTAGATAGTAATACACAAAGAAAGATAAGGCATTGGGCTCCCCAGTTCAGATGATTGTATGTTTGATTGGTTCTTTTATGTAAATGTTGGACTTAAGATCCCATTGATGTTTCTGAAAAAATGTGTAATACTTCTTTACATATGTAGGTTATATATAATATGTTTCATATAAAATGTTCTTTCACATACAGAGTATGTATTATATGTTATATTACATGTTATATTATGTAATATATATGTTATAATATATATTATAACACATATATGTGTTAGTATATATGTTATAATATATATTATAACATATATGTGTTAATATATATGTTATAATATATATATGTTATATTACATATTATATGTTATATGTACACACACAGAGGCTAGAAAGATACAGACCAGAATGCTGTCATTGATTATCTCTGGGTAGTTGGATTACAGATGATTTTTTCTTCTTTTTGCTTACATGTTGTTTCCAAATTTTTTACAACTGTTATTACAATTTTACAATGTACTGGTTGTGGATTGATTCAAAAATTCTACATTTTTTTTTTACTAATTTAGCTTGTTTGGACCAAAACACAAACTAGTGATTACAAATAAAACATGTTTTACTTCAATGATCCCAAACTGAGCATGAAGAATAGAAACAGCCTCAGCTTTATCTTCCCTTTCTCCACAGTCATCCCTCAAAGCAGTGATGAAAACGGCGAGGCTATCTGGAATCCAGAAGAGGTTCCAGAGGGAGCAGAGCATGAGGACATGTGGGATGTTAGAGAAATACCAGAGTAAGTCAGATGAGGCCAGGAATGTGTTTGGGGCTTAAGGTAGATGTGTCAGCTAATACCATTCTATTTTTGACAAGATTCATAAAGTAACTTCTACCACATAAAAGATAAAACTATGGTGACACACAGAAGGCATGTGTAATTGATGATTTTTTTTCCTTCTGAAGCAGAAACAAATAATGAAATATAATACCTTCCTTTCAGTTATTATCAAACAAAAACTGAAAAATACAGTCATTTCCATTACAAATTTATATTTACTATCGGCTAGTTGTTTAATGTGGAACTAACACTGGGAAAAAAAACCCATTAAGTTACAAGCATTCATATAAGCTAAATTATTTTACCATGTTTATGTGTCAAAGACCTGCTTTTAATTATTCAATGCTCCACAATTGTGGTAAAAGGCTGTGTTCTCTCTCCAATTATCTATTATTACCTGGATCTATTTACTAGTGATTTTAGGATTATGTTTAACATATTTTGCAAGCGGCCTTGAAGCCTCACTTTGTAGCTTTTTCAATAGGAATTATGAATATGAATTGTAAATATAAAATTTAGGATTATTATCATGAATAGCCCTTCACTCTGATGAAATAAATCACCCACAGTTTCAAGGAATTGAAAGTGTGTTCACATTTGTAATTGAAATTAATGGTTAAATACACTAAGCTTTAAATATATGTATTCTAAAATAAAATATTGATTGAGTATTTAGAATAACTTGAAAAACCAAGGCAGTACTTACTAAATTATAATGTATTTTATGAATTCTTGAAGACTTCTATGGTAAGTGATCTGACAACTTATCTAATTCTGACTATAAAATTGCGTCCAAGTTTTTTTTTTTTAAACTCAACCCTCTCTTTCTGTCCTCTACATCAATTCTGAAAATAGAAGCAGTGGGAGACTGCAGATAATTAACTGGAAAAATGTATCCAGCTTTCAAATAAACAATGTCAAAAAACCCCATAAACCTCATAAAAAAAGATCAAAGGGGATTTTAAAACATTTCTGTGTGTACCTTAAAAATGAAGAGTAAATCTCAGGTTATGTTTATACAATGCCCACACATCCGATGAAAGGTATGAAGTAAGCCACTCATTCATCATATTGTCTAATGAATGTCAAACATCCGTATGTGGCAAGTTCCAAATTTGAGTAAATTTTCACTTCTCATCCTGATGTTTGATGTTCTGTAGACAGAACATCCATGAAAGTTTTAAATGAATAAGAACTCCAGTCAGGATATGAAGAAAATTATAAGATTTTTTCAATCTTTATTTTCTATCTTACACAAGTACATTTCAAAATGTCCCAGTGGATAAAGAGAAAATTGGGAAAAAAGGGGGATAGGCTGCTCACAAAAAAAAAAAAAAAAAATCACAAGTGGCCAAATAAAAAGTAATAAGGACCTGAGCTAAGTCACTGGCCTTGGGGAGAAGTATGAGGGCCTTTGAGAGATTCTTAAAGGAATATATGTTATTTGATTAGATATAATGAATGACAAGAAAGCGTCAGAAATGATGCTGAGGGTACTGACTAGGGTGAGTGGGTGAATAATGAGGCCATTAACTGTGACTGGGAATGAAGGTAGAGGGAAAACAATGAGTTTGGTTTTGGATGTGTGGACTCTGAGGTACCTTTGGGACATGCAGGCAAATGTATATAGTAGACAGTTGGAAAATTACATCTGGAGGTGGAGAGAAGAGCAGCAGCTAGAGCAAATCCATTTGGGAGTCATGGGCATATGGATCAATACCTTTCTGTTTTGCTTTAACCTGTCTTCACCTTTGTAAATATCAGGTAAATGTTATAGTCTATTAAGAATAAAGTGCCCCATATCAAATAGCTACTTATCGTTAGTCCTGTTCAAACTCAGAGAAATCCCTTTTCCATCCTTGGGCTTTCCTATTTGCAAGAGGTCAGAAGTTCAAGGTAGTCCTTTAGTCTTCCTATCCAGAGAGTTACCGTTTCTTCATTAGGGGAGAATTAAAGGGTAAAGATCATCTGTAAATGTTTGCTCACTTCATTCCGTCTAAAAAGATATAGGGTACATTTGCCCCCACATTAGGGACCCAAATGTGGGGGCAAAGAAAGATTTGTGAATTATCTTCTTGTATGAGGTGAAATACCAGGAAAATCTTTCATCAGAGTAAGAATTCTGTAGGCCTAGATTCTAAATACTGCAATTTTGTTGTGCTGACCACATTACCAGTGTTTCTATTGTAGACTTTTAGACCTGGAGAAAATATTGTAGAGATCACTGAATTCAAACCTCCCTCTCTCCCATAAATTGTACAAATCTGGAAGCAGAGAACCCCATGAGTTTGTGATTTGACCAAGGGCACACAGTTAATGACAGAAAAAGAACTACACCTGGATTTTCTAACTAACTCTACTCTGTGTCTCAAATTTAGCAGACAAGGATTTCTATCTATCCATCAAACTCTGGGTTATGGGCCTACTATTTTTCTGAGCCATCATTTTCCAGGAAAAAAAACCTTTTTTTTTTTCTTGTGCTTTTAATCTTATTAGAAGTTCCCTCAATCCATTTTATTTGTATAGCTCTGAAACAATTAAGCTTAATTTTTCAAAAAGAAGTAGATACAATATAAATCCTGCTTTACAGTATTAGGTATATATATATATATATATATATATATTTTCATGTTAGGTATTTTTTGACTGAATTTTCTAGACTTCTATTCCTTTATGATTCTGCTACATGCTCGAAGAAATTGTCAGCACTTTATTTAGTCCTTTTATTTTTTGTAATAGCATGTCATCATAAGTTTGTAGGTTTTTGGGGTTGTTTTTTGTTTGTTTTTTTTCTTTTTTCTTTCTTTTTCTTTTCTTTTTTTTTTCTTTTTTTTTTTGCTCTGGGACAGAAAATTGCTTTCTTTTGAGTCTCTGTATCATTGACTTTTTTTTTTAGGTATGAGATAATATTCAAACAGCAAGTGGGAACTGAGGATATTTTCCTAGGATTTTCGAGAAAAGACTCTTCAACCGCATGTTGTGAAGATCTAGTGGTGAGCCTCTCTATCTTCCCTATGATCATTATGGCTACATGGACTGGCTGTTATATGCATAATACCATAGGCAAGGCAGTAAACTCTTTAAAAATAGTGGTTGCTATGTTTTAGGTACTAAGGGAATAATGGGATTGACAATTTAAAATTGGCTAATACATACAAAATAAACTAAATTTACACATGTGGATAAGATTTACAAATAAACATAATAGAATCATAAGATATAATACACTATTTCTAGTCCTGTGAAAACTGTCCTTCCCTGAATCTCTCTTATCTCTTATATCTATATTTCTTCTAATGACTCAGCTTACATCGTGCAGTTTAAAAAGGGACTTTTTCTTAAGTTTTGGACCTGAACTTCTGATTTAAAATTCTAAAAAGACATCTAAAATGTTATCTTTGTTCCCTTATCAGAATGACACTAATTCTATGTAATAACAATAGCAATACCAATAAGATCAATGAGATCCCCTTACTTCTGCTTATTTAAGACTCAGAATGATCCTGTTGAAAAGTCTGGGCCTAACCAAAAAGGGGGGATATAACCGGTTTTGGCAGCAAACACTGGTAATTCTGGTGTGGAGAATTCTTTTCCTAAGATCAGTGGCTGTGCTTCTTTCTATCTTTTCCCCTCTCTGTCTCACAACACTCTACAGTATGGAGTACTGAGATGCGCATTGGAAATGCTTAATCTTTTTTCCTTAAGCAAATGATAAATGGAATCTCTCTTTTGCATGAACTTCAGGTTTTCTCTTATTAGCAAAATCTAAGACATCCAATTGAATCTAGTAACATAATGGGAGTAGTGAGTTTAAGCAGCTTAGGAGATTTTTCAAACTCTAATGAGTTAAGTTTTCAAGTGATCTTGAAGTAATTAGTTCCCAGGGTTTTACCAGTAACATCCCAATTCCTCTCTTTTAAATAACTGTAAAATGACATTTTTGATGTCTAGTGTTGAGGATTGCTATAAACTCTGGAGAAATTCTGGGCCCTAAGTAAATAACTGTTGTGAGGCTTTCCATCTCTCTCCCTTTTAAAGTGCTACTAGTATTAATAATAAAGGTGTCCTGAATGAAGACTCTCGGAAACCAAACTGTACCTAAGAGTAGGGGTACACAGTTTATGTAAAACTCAACAAATATATGCTGAAGAAGACTTGATCCCCCCTTTTAATGAACTTCTAGTCGACTGGGGAGACAGAACTCATGTAAATGAAATCAGCTTCTTATTAACAGTTAAACTCAGTGTTGACAGTCTACCGGGAGTTTAGAGGGTTTGGATAAGGTATGGACAGCACGGAATGGAAGCTGTATGAAATATTTTTTTGGTGCTATGGCACTTCACAACATGTATACTGTTTTTTTTTCTCTTGCATTTTCTTCATATATTCAATTTTCTTAATTCAATTAGCCAACATATAGTACATCATTAGTTTTCGATATAATGTTCAATGATTCATTAGTTGCATATAACACCCAGTGCTCATCACATCACATGCCCTCCTTATTGTCCATCACTGAGTTACCCCATCCCCCCAACGCATCTCCCCTCACCCACCTTCCGGACTCCAGGAAATAGAGGTTTGGAGTCAAGAGTCTCTTATGGTTTGTCTCCCTCTCTGATTTCTTCCCCTTCAGTTTTCCCTCCCTTCCCCTATTGTCCTCTGGACTATATCTACCATTTACATTGACATGGATGGATTATGCTAAGTGAAATAAGTCAATCAGAGAAAGAGAGTTATCATATAGTTTCACTCATATGTGGAACATAAGGAATAGTGCATATATTCAATTTTTAAATACTTAGTGAGTACTATTACACACCAGGCTCTGTTCTAGGTACTAGGGATACAAAGGTAAATAAGATACAGTCATCACCCTCAAGGAATTTACAATAAAGGAGGCAGACATGTAACAAATCATCACAATTCAGTATGGTAAGTATATAGAGGCATATATGTGTGACATATATGGTGTCATAAAGCAGAAAGAGATCAACATTGGGTAGATAAGATTTTTCCAGTGGACAACATTCCAAGAAACAGAGTAAAGCACATGGGGCAGTATCCAGGCATGAAATAGCCTGGCTTATTTGAGTAAGCTCTGAGCATAAGAAGAATAAAGAATAGTTGTGAGTGGTGTACTTGTAAGCCAACTCTCAAAAAAAGAAAAATAACCCCTGATTTATAGCTTGAATTTTATCTTATCGTGTAGGCTTATTAATGATGATATCCACCATCATTGCTTAACCCCACTGGTAAGACTCAGACTAAAGAGGTTATTGACCACATCTCAAGTATTTCTTGCTCAAATTTATCAGCTTACTATTCCTGTTGATAATATGGCATTTTCCCAGATCCAAGACATCATCAGATTGTCATTTATTTAATACAAAGGAACAATAAGTGTGCTACCCCATTAATTGTACACATTGATTGCATGACACACCCCAGTAACAGAAACACTAAAATGTGGGGGGAATTACATCTTAGAACTGGCTAAATTTGTTATTTGGGGGCTAGACCTGGTCTATATGTAACAATCCAATACAGAGACTTTAAGAAGACCTCTGTTTAAGCTGAAGAAGATAGTAGCATGAACAATCTGTTTAAGTACAAAGAGTGATTTGGGGTTTAAAAATCCATAAGGACCACCCTTTCCTTTACCCTCCCCAGACTCCAAATAAGAACGCAGGATTCATGAGTCTTAAAGCATTTGTCCTAAATAAAATTCTCAGTTATGATTATGTATGTCTTCAGCAAATCTTCCTTTCTTTCCTTCTAACCTCAAGCCAAAGAGCTTCGTTATCTAAATTCTGCCTACTGCTCCTCTACCGGGTTTGTAGCTACCAAGCTTCCCTGGCCTTAATCTATAATTAGGCATTTCATATTTTAAGTAAAAATTGTATGTAAAGTGTACAACATGATGATTTAATACACATATGCATAGTGAAATGATTACTGTATTATTAACATATCCTCTCCTCACATACTTACCGTTTTGTGTGTGTGTGTGTTGAGAGCACTTGGAATCTACTCTCTTAGCAGATTCCCAGTATTTAATATGGTATTAGTAACTATAATCATCATGATATACATTTCAGAGCTACAGCTTTATATGTCAGCTTTTTGCAGGTTTGTTTTGTTTTTAGCTGCCAGCCATTTTCTTCAAACCAAATTCTATGAGAAAGCCCAATATAGAGAACACATAAAAGTACCACTGCCTTGAATAAAAGGGTACTATCACCCATGAGGCAGCTCCTAGGAGAAAAACTGGGGTTCTTTGGGACACAGTTTGAAAGATGCTTATCTAATAGCATGGAGGACATGGGGAGTTAGGAGAAGGCATTTGGGGGAAATTGGAACGGGAGGTGAACAATGAGAGACTATGGACTCTGAAAAACAATCTGAAGGGTTTGAAGAGGTGGGGGGGTGGGAGGTTGGGGGAACCAGGTGGTGGGTATTAGAGAAGGCACGGACTGCATGGAGCACTGGGTATGGTACAAAAACAATGAATACTGTTACGCTGAAAATTAAAAAAAAATTAAAAAAAATTTTTAAAAAAAGATGCTTATCTAGCCTTTCTCCTTGTATTACAGTTGAGAAAATAAGGTCAAGCTTGTGAAAGTATCAAATATTCATATAAATTAATGGAAGAATAATAAGAGAGCTAGAAGGTGTTTTCCTCCTAGGTAACATGTATGTTTTACTTTAAACCTCATGAGTATAATGTTATATTTTACTTTTTTCGATTTTACTATTTTTTTATTTTCTTTTTTGTTCTCTATACTTTCCATCGCTCTCCACAAAGATCCTGCTATAATGGGTTTGATATATATCCTTGACTATGTAAATTGAATACATATTTACCACTGTTTGCTGTATTTTTTAATTCAACAAATACTTATTGAGCACTTACTATAGGACAGATACTTGATATACAGTGTTGAACACAATAGAAAAGTTTCCCTTTCTCACAAGGATCTAACTATCAAGAGATCAAGCAGTCTATAAGCAGCAGCACAGACTTCCATAAATCCATTCAATAAGAAAACAGTGAACCCAAATGGATAAAGGTTATTACTTACAGACAGGATAAGCAAGATCAGCCGGGTGTCAGTTCCACATGTCCTTTTGCCCCACAGGAAAACCGCTGAACTAAAGGGACCAGATAACAGGTGACATGAGCGGTGGGGCACTCTGTTGCTGAAGAGCCAACTCTATAGGCTGTAGCGGGACTGTTTTATAGCCTGCATCTACACCCAAGGGGAGGGAGGTAGAAAGCTCTTATGCCTTATTGGAACTAGGGAGGAGGGTGAGAAACTGCTTCACTGGTAGCCTCCTGCAAGATAAGGAGCCTCCCACAGGGTAGAAAGGCAGATAAGAACAGCCTTGAGGCAAATCCTCACAAGACTCTGTCTTCCCGTGTTCCGGGAGGATCACAGGATGTTCTGCCAAGACTTGGGGCCGACTGCAATTGAGCTTTGCCTGTGTGGCCAACTGGATAGTACAGGTTCACCAGAGTGCCATAGAGGAGCCATTTTCCTACATTCACAGCCTATGAATAAAGGTTTTTATCCTGCTTGTTTTTACTTAAAATGATAATAATAATAATAGCAAATCATTTATAGAACACTTACTATGTGCCAGGCATTTCTCTGAGAACTTTGCACATAGTAAATCATCAATCTCCACATCAACCTTATGAAATTGGTGCCATCATTTTCACTTTACAGAGGAGGTTGCTGAGACACAAAGAAGTTAAGTGACTTGCATTAAGTTCACACACTTAGAATCTGGTAGAACTATAATCGGACCCAAAAAATTTGACTTTGATAGAAGTGTGTATAAAGTGATATGGTCCAAGCAGACTTCACAATACAGGTGACATCTGGCCTGGACATGTGAAGTACATGGTAATTTGTCAGGGTGGAAAAGCTGTCTGAGCAGAATAAACAGTGGCATCGGCAAAGGCCTAGTGCTATGAGAGTATATG